GCCGATTTCTTTTGAATCACCCTGTATAGGTACAATGTGTTGGATGGTACATATAGGCATTAGGTATATATAGGTAATTATTCATTTCATGAGCACGTATATAAAAACTGTTTATAAACCAGTTATTCTTTATTGTAATGACTTTATAACGATCCAGTGATGTCATGATATCTATACAAGAATTCCGTGAACATTATAATGGAAATCAATACATTGAACCTGTTATTATACAGGTTGATCCATTAAGAATGGAAAATCTTTGAACTGTAGATAGTGAACACCAAAATAATAAGTAATAGCCTGACATAATTAAAGATATCTGCCTAATAAGAATGTTGCTGGTTTAGGATATACAGGGTGTTCAAAGGTAAGATTTCATTATAAAATTTTTCAATAACTTTGTGAGTTGCCTGATAAGAATGTTATTGCTGGTTCAGGAGATACAGGGTGTTCGAAGGTAAGATTTTATTTAAAAATTAAAGTTTCAACAGCATGAACATAAAACTTTGTAGTTTCAGGTTTTCTGTTATATGAGAAATAGGAATTTTTGATTCATTCTGTGATTGCTCATGTACGGCACTCTGTTACTTTTCGGTGAATTATATCATATCTTCTTTGTCCATTGTCAAAAATCTGAAAGTCGGTTCAATTTCACATGAAAAAATGTACTCTTGTTGCGTTATTCGCTCTTGAAGAGATTTGTGTTTCATTTATTACATTTTTATTATTACTAATTATAAAGTTAGCAAAGTGACAGTGGAAAAAAGACAATTACCAACAACGCCAACAACAAACATAATTTCAAAATAAATATACGACCATAGTTATGGAGAAATTTAAAATTATGTTTGTTCCTTTTTTTTACAAGGCATGTTAGGCTAAACATTCATACTTTGAATCATCCTGTATAATATATAATGAGTGACAATGAGATTAATACATATACTCAATTCAAACATTGAGAGAAAGAAAACTCAAGATATACTATCGAATAGAACCATTGAAGAATACACATAGAGATCAACATAAAATTTGGACGACATAATTATCTGTACAAATTTCCGTGCGGAACAGTCAGATATTTCAAAATCACCTTCATCAAATATGATATTCCCTAAACTGTCACCTTATTGTATATCATATCGAGTAAATGTTTTTAAAATAAATAAATATTTTGAATTAAGAAAATATAAATACTGTCTGTAGGTTAATCGAGGAGGTGTTACATTCATTTTATTTGATTATTTGGGATTTTCTCCTCGTTTCTACAAAATGAAAATATGAGTATTATTTCAATATATGTGTAGTAGAACAAATCAGATGATTTGCCCCAAAATGTCACTGCGTTTAACGATTTTTTCTATCAGGGAGCCTGAAAAAAAATCCAATAGCTTGTCAGTTACACTTTGTTTGGAAAAAAGTTTGAAGAGAAGAAATATAGATATATTGAAAAAATATCGAATTTTTACTTATATCTTTGGAAGTTTCGGGAACGAACCTGCTCCCGTTCACAACATAAAAATGCAAAATATCTTTCTTCGAGGATTATGTTCTGATAGCTTGACACTTCTCAGTGTCATACTGATGTTGGCATATGGATGAGTGATGATGTTAGTATACAAATGATTTACAGGATGTTTTCATAAATTGATCTTGAATCTACCATTTTCATGTTCAGTTTTCAGTAGTGAATACCATGTTCTATCTATATCAACTGAACAGGAAGCAATGCTATTGTCTCCGTTCAGAAGAAGGCAAGCTGATTCCTTGATTTTTCTGTTTTGGTTGTTATCTATATTTCCTATGATTTTAATAGTATTCCACTCTGCCATATGTTGTCCATTTTAGTTTAGTTTCACCTGTATATATAATACTCTCCACAAACACAAGGTATACTATAAATACAATTTTTTGATGATTGTTCTTCATTCTTCGGTTTTGTTTGAGTTAGAATTGAGATCAATTATTTTCTTCAAACTTTTTTTGCAAACAAAGGAACACTGACAAGCTATTGGACTCTTTTTTTGGGCTCCCTGATAAAAAAAATGTGTTAAACCGTTGATTGATATAATACGCTTACGTAATATACCAATCAACGGTTAAACGCAGTAACATTCTGGGGCAAATCATCTGATTTGTCCTACTACAGTTACTACACATAATCATATTGGAATAATACTCATATTTTTATTTTGTAGAAACGAGGAAAGAAAATCCCAAATAATCAAATAAAATGAGACAAAATACTTATAGAAAATGGTAACTGATGTTTTCAATTTCTTTGGATTTGAATGGTGTAAAAGGACCATAGAATAATATGTTTTGGTCTTCTCAATCTATGCCCTCTATTTGTTATAGATATCATACGAGTAAATTAAGGAGATAGGTACCTATTACACAAAATGTTCAGAATCACGTATGATACACCATCGGTGATGTAAGTTTACCTTGAAATATCAGAATAACACAAATTAACTTGCATGTATTTCATCATCGATAAGGTATTTATTTTTCACCTCGGTAGAGAAATGTGTGCGATATTTCGTTTCAAATAACGAGGTGCCAAACATCCTGTGTGGTACCTATCACTTCGACCTGTTTTTTATTTTTAGGCATGACAAAACACCTATCTGGTTAATGACACACTTTCAGATAAATTCAATATGGTTTTAATAATATTTGCTATTGAACTCCATACAAGGAAGTAAAATTATTATGACCACTAAAGCGCTGAAATTACCATCAACTCCATATAAGTATGTAGATGTAATTATATATAGGTGTTTCAGACAGGAATTTCTAATAATTAGCACAGAACAACACTCCGTTATTTTTTTGCTTATATGTATACCTAGAGGGTAGTCTGTTTTAACAAGAGATGTACATTTATTTTCAAAGTTATTGTGAGTCGGCACTTTCACTCAGGTCACTGTCTTGTCATATTTGTCATATGGTTGACGTGAGATTTTCCGTGTTTCTAACCTTTTAGTTTAGATTTAAACACTTTTTGGCTGTTTGCTCAATCAATTTTTAACGCTCTCATAAGGGACATAACGGTAAACACCCTGTTTTCCGAATTATGTTGTTGGGAATTGCTTCGCATTCCCCTTCATACCTATTCCATTTTGGTATTCAAAATTTTTTTTTGAAGATGAAACTCCTTTAAGTGAATTAACTTAATACAATTTTCCCAAGTTTGTGCCAATGTTGAACCTGATGATAGTTGGGTTCTTTTGGCTGTTTAGTCGGTTCGAAATACAAGTATCTCTTTACCGGACTGTTTTTTTTGCCGAATGACCACGGCTCCTTAATTCTATTTTTATTTTATAATGTGATTTCCACATGGCCTTATATGTACTGTGTACTAATCTGTCTGAAGATGGCTTTTTGAGCCGAAACTAATCACAATACATTTTGTGTAATATAATTTTTGTGGTCGACCGACTTGGTGTTATTTGGTTTTTTCCTTTTATTGAGAAAAACGATAGAAACCTCGATACAATCGCACAAAGTCAGTAGACCACATGAATTTATTTATTATGAAGTGTACCTCAGCAATACACATTAAGAACAATAACTAGCATAGGTCAAATATCCAAAGTATTATCATTCCTGTAATTTCATTATGGATTCCAATTTGGAAAAGGTCCAGTAAAACCAGATTAACATATCATTATTGACGGAGTTCATTGGCACAATTCCCAAAGAATTCTCTCACGTGAAATTCATCAGGTTGTAATGCACAATGCAGATAAAAATGTATTATTCCACTCATCTACCATGAAATGTCAGAAATCGAAATTTTCGGTACTAGCCGTAGAAAAAGTATAGTGTTTAACTCGCATGGAATGCTACTATAGGAGGAGGCATCTTAAAAATCACCCTCCGGCGTAACCGATTAAAAATCCGGCCTAGGTGATAAACCGATCAGAATTTGACATGTTTTTTGTATGTTTTACTGCTCTTTCTCTAAGCCAATAAACTATCCTGATAAATCTGAAAACTCCTGGCTTTGGTATAAAAGTTGAAGAATTGGATAGGGAAGTCTTCAAAATTAGTGAAATTGCACCGTTTTATATGCTGGGCTTATCGTTTCTGAATATCGTTTCTAAATAGTTATTTATGTACCAAGGACGAAAAACTGTCTTTTATAGTCGAGTCTGCAAATTGACAATAGACCTCGAAATAGACAGTATTTCGCCGAGGGCATATCAAATTTTTTCGTCGACCCCAAACACTTATTTCCAGATCAATAATTAATTTGACAGCAGCAAATGACAGTTGACGTCCACTCACACTCCGCGCGGACTAGGTTTGCCGGTTCGATTTTTATTTCATTCTAACTTCCAAGAAATGATAATGAAATAGACCAATGAAGTCAAAACATTATATACAGTAAGTGAACAGAAAAGTAACCGATTTCAAACACAATAGAAACGAACAACTAACATTCTCATGAAAAAATGATCATATTCCTAATTCTCAATTTGAAAATACTCACAAATATCACAAAATACAGATATTTACATAGGTAGGTACTGATAAGAATTGAGTATATAAAAAACAGTAACGAATAGTAAAAATGAACAACGAAAATACAAAACAAATTGAAAATCAAACGTAAGAAACAAACCGTCATAAAAACGGTATATAATGAAAGAATTTGATCTGAATCAGATAAAGCATCGTATTTTTTGGAAACAGAGCGTGCCGATATATATGTGATTAACAAATAATAATATAGGTAATTATAATCATAAATAAGTGTCGAAATATTGTTCAGTTGTTTATTGAATGTTTCAGTAGATCAGCAGATCAAAATATGCAAATCAGGAGATTTACTGAAAATTCAGTAGAACTGGCAACCCTGCAGAGGACGAAAAGTTTTTGCGGACGAAAAGCACTTGCCTTTGAAAATTAAAACGTAAAATGTGATTGTATGAAGAGGTCAACGAAAAAATAGATAATTAAGTACAGCTAAGTGAATATACTAGACTTACGTTAGTTATTAAAAGGAAATTCGTAAAAACTAGTAGGAGATAGCGCGAACACTGCACAAAAGAACACTGCACAAACGCTTTTCGTAAACTGTACAATTCAATAATCTACGGTAATCCTGCGATCCTGCCGATCCCCACCACCAAGCCAACGTTACGTCACCGATATCAAAGGCAAACTTGTTGCATGTCCTGACCATGTATGAAAAGTTCGAGATTTTTTTTTTCATTTGATCGCTAATTATTCTTGTAGAGCGCCTACGACAAAATGTCTTTCTACCTATCCAATAGAGGATTGTAAATGACAGGTGGAGCATTTGGACCGTTAGTCGAACGAAATCAATCACATAATTAATTTCATGTTCCATGAAGTGAACTAACACAACGAAATGAATTTATAATTTATCGAACAAAATGTTTTTGTGAATATCAGATGTGAAATAATTTCAGATTGAGAAGATGCAACTCAATTCCAATCGAAAAAATTTGGACACTTTCCTATTTTCAATAGAATCCGAATTTGCTGTTGCTCAGTAGGGTTATTTCGAGCAGTAAACTATGGAAATTATAACAGGAATCGAATTATCATTGGTCTGAAGAAAAGAGAAAATGCCTGGATTCTCATTTTTTCTACTCACCTATTTGTCTGCTTATACAGTGTGTCCCAGCTACAACTTGTCACTCCCCTAATCTCCGATGTCGTTAAAAAAATTGAAAATCGCTCGGACAGGTCGATTTCAATTTGGCGGAGGACACATTTTTCTGCAATTATCAAATTCAAAGTTGAAATCTTGAAGCGTATCGGGCATCAACTCTCGATTTTCAAATGGAGCACCCTGTATGTCATTGCATTTTTATATTCTCCCTGGAGAGCTGCTTTCATCAATGCATCACACTTGTCCAGCGGAAATGATTACAGAGATATAGGGGGTTCAAAATCGAGATTTTTTCAACTTCAGGATTTTTTTGTGTCGAAACTATTCATTATTTCATCATTATTTTGATTTGCTATCTACTGACATTCAATTGGAACAAATACAGGGTGATCAGAATTCTGAATCTTGAACCACCAAAACGCGCCAAAAGTACACAATTGACAACACTCGCCCTCGGCTCGAATTCATAACTGACCACGTGCTCGTGTTTTGATAGCTATCATTACAAGATCGTTGCATAAAATTCTATTATGTACAGGGTTTCTTCTTATATTTTATTTTTACCCCTACCTACAACTTTAACGATACGAGGTGAAAAAAACTTCGAATATGAAAGTTGTAGGGTTTCATCTGTACTATATTTTGGCACTCCTTAAAAGAACAGATGGATGGGAATCGCAAAATGAAACAGCCTGTATATTTTCAACTCTATACCGGGTGTCCCAAGTTGTCGTATCGTTATCTCGCTTATTTGACAAGTTAATTAAAAAATAACTACTTATTTGACAGCCCTCTGTGGTAGCTAACCTTCACTTCTTATTTTCAAATCGCACCCCCTTGTATATATTAATTTCGATTAAAAATTGCATATTATTCTATTTGGAATACAATAATAGCACATACTTGGTATTTTTTTATCTAGAACATTTATTTTTTGTAACTTTTTTTACCTCTGCCCATGTTTTTAAAAACTTCAGGTAATCGAAGTAGATTGATTACACTAGGTAGCGTTTGTAAATGATTGATGTTTTACTCAGCAAAATGGAATTATTGTCATTAATTTTTTGACATAAAAAGCATCGTTTTATTGGGACAAAAAATTATCTTCTTCTATTTTGTGAACTTTTTAAAAACATGGACGAAGGCAGTTTTTCATTTAAGTAAAGAACTCACAAAATGTTAATGATTTTGTTGTTATTAATAAATAAATAGACAATATACAGGGGATGTCGTTTGAAAATAAAAAGTGAGGGGTAGCTACCACAGGACTGTCAAATGAAATATTAGGAAGGTACCTGCGTACTTCAATGCAATTCAAAGCAGGTTTTTCATTAAGAAAACAAACAGATTTAAATCGCACATTTCAAAAGTAGATTTTACAGGATGACTCATAAACTATAATAGGTCACGCACTGTATATCATGTAATGTCGAATAAATCAACATCAGATTATCTGACACAATCACAATGAAAAAGAGGAGTACTTAGTTAAAACTATGATTAATATGGGTATACGAAAGTTTCAAGTGAATAAGACATGGACGTTACGTCCATGGAATATGATGAAAGAAATATCATTTTCAATTCTAGAATTCCATCATTATAACATACGTGATTTCATCATCAAATTTGTTCGTGCAAAGAGTTAATTTATGGATTATTGCAGACAAAATTTGGGGGTGATTCCTTGATATATTTAATGGAAAAAGTGCGTATAAACTTTTGTCATAACTTGCTCAGTTTTCATTTCATTTCACACCCTATATTATCAACTCCAAACTCAAAGCCAACTGGCAACTCTGGCAAAAGTGGCACTCTCTTATTGATTTCAATCGATCTGGGTTTCTGCTGGTTTCTGGTTCCATCTGGGTCAAGTCGGGACAATTAGTTATGGTGGGCGAAAAAAAAGAGGTAGGATGGCGATAGACTCATGAGTCACACCACACCACACGACAGCTTGCTTGACCTAGACGGGTCTACGCCCAAATACGGCGATGCCACGGACGAATCACAATGGAGAACGAATTTCTCTTCAATTCATTGCATTCAATATTCAATGCTCTTATTTTTTGTATTTCATACTCTATATTCGACTGGTTATAGAGGATATTATAATAATAATACACTCACCAGAGCAGAAAAACGGCCATAAAAAACTTCTTAACGCCCTGTTCATGACTTCTCAACGATCTGTGGCAAAAGTGAGTGGTTTAACTCAACTTTATCATAATTTTGATTGAAGTGTGATCCCATCTTTACACCATCGTTTTTGTTTCACGTCTATATCTTTTTTTAAGAGAAGATACAACCCAGCAAACAATTTTGGTCGGCCTTATGCTGGCCAGAATTGGCCAGAACAGCAAAATTCCTGTGGACATTGATAGCCAGTTCCAATAGGAGACTTTGGCCGTCATCAGGGCCAGTACATGTTTTCTGCAAGGAATATTTCCAGAAAATCTTAAAATCACAAAAGTTCTACCAATTTTTGAAAAAGGCGGCTCCGACTTAACTACAAGTTATAGACCAATTTTAATAATTCGAATCATCGGAAAAATCTTCAAAATAATTCTGAAGGAACGTCTAATTATTTTTTTAAAAAGCACAACACTCATCATGACGGTCAATTTGGTTTTCGGACTAATTGCTCTACAATTCAGGCCGTACGCAAAATTGTTTCTAACATAGTCGAAGGCCTTGAGAGTGGGAAACATACTGAACTCACTATGTGCGACCTATCGAAGGTCTTCAAATTGATTGCATCTTATCTTCATGATATCTTTCATTTTATGTCCCCTACTGGTTGTATCTGCTTTGCCGATGACACAACTCTCATTGAATCACACTCAATCCCAACTACTCCTAATGATCTTGCTCTCCAAGCCGAAAATAGGGCTCACTCTTGGTTTACTTCAAACCACCAAAAACTAAACCAAGATAAAACCCAGGAAAAAATTGTCTCCTCTAACAATAACTTGACTTCTGGTAACCAAGTCAGTCTACTTGACATAGTTCTAGATAGGTTGAAATGGGCTGCTCATGCAGATCAATTATGCAGAAAGCTCTCCACCCAACTATTTCTCTTAAGACAACTTTAATAAATTCGTCGTCAAATGTTATTGAGTACATATCATTCACTGTTTCATTTGCACCTCGATTATGGCACACTCCTGTGGGGTAATTCAACACACTCATTGAAAGTCTTTAAAACACAAAAGAAGGCACTCAGAATCCTATATGGTGCCGACTACAGTGCGCATTGCCAGCCCTTATTAAAAAATATTGAATTATGACAATTCCCTGTATCATTATCTATCAAACTCTATTAGAGGTTTACCCTACTATAGGAAAGCTTGTAACAAATGCTGGAATCTACAGTTATCCTACTAGGGCTTCAAATGAACTCAGACCTCTCAAATACACTATCAGTCTCTCAGCAAAACTCCTTGCAAATATACTTATTCAACAAACTACCAGCGCAAATAAAACATTGAGATTCAACCAGTTCAAAATATGCATAAAAAATTATCTGTTGGCTCACTGTTTTTACTCTATTGAAGAATTTATCAATTCAAATCTTGACTCGATGATACTCACCCCTAACAATTTTTGAATTCAAAATAACATTCATGTGATGTTTTTTTTCCTCCCTGAATGTGTATATTAATTTATATATATTTGTCGTATCTGTTAGTCTGAACCTATGCAATTGTGTTAATTGTCTTGTGAATGTGATTTTTGCAATGATTCTTAAACATCTGCTTTTGTATATTTATTCTCAATATTTTAACATTAATTCTCTGGAACCTAGGACTTGCTACAAATGTTATCTGTAAATTATCGTGGTCAAATAAAGCTCAATCTATCTATCTATCTACATGTCTGCCGATACATTCAATTTGAAAAAAAGGCGTCCTCCACGGGATTCGAACCCCGGTCCTCCGCTGTCACTTGGTGACAAATCGAACTTATATTCTAACGGACCTACTACACCTTTATTGAAATGACAGAGATATATACAAACGATGAACAAGGAAGAACATCCATTTTTCCGAGTTATAGTCAGCCTATTTTTTTATGTCCGAATTTGATGAATTTCATAATGATACATAAATGCAAAACGGCAGAACAGCGCAGTGGTTGTGCGCACGACTAGCAATAAGAACGCTGAAAGTTTGCTAGGTTCGATTCCTGGCAGAGCAGAACATTTCTAAAACGAGTTACAAGTCCTAATTCACGTCTCGGCCGGAGTTGGTTCCGCACGATTCGCTGTTGCGTCCCAAAAAACAGTGCTGCTCCTAAGGTGGCGTATGGAGTAAGTAACAAAGCCTACACCGAACACACATGAGCTGAAGGACCTCTCGTAAGGTAAATGGCCAGTTGGTATGTACACATATACATACATACTAACGAAGTACAATAATACTTACTTATTTACCTCATTTAAATGCAATGAATAAACATAGTAGTAGT